GGTTTTCCTTAGATAGAAAACTTTGAATCAATCTGACTGGATGATCTGGTGAACTGGAAAGTGCCTGGAGATGACGTGTTGTGAATTGGCGCTATTATAGAAATAAACTGAATTGAATTGAATCTGGATAAACTTTACTGGACGTCTGACCTTAATGTGGACAAGCATCAAAGATGAAGCAGCAGACGCTTTTTTGTTGCTGAAATCGCATGCGGTGTGAACGTAGCGTAAGAAGTATAATTTTTATGTTACATTTTTTTCACATTTCCATTTACAGAACATGTTCTTTGCAACAATAATGGAACCAAATTCACTCCATATGGGATGGTCTAACTCCCCTCTTCACAACTGAAAGTTTTTGCCATCCCTCAAACAGACAGGCTATTTCAGGTCTCTCCCAAAACCCCAGAAGATATAAGCACTTGGAACAAATGACAATCTGAGAAAGGATGATTAAAATGTTCATTGTGTGCTTAATTGCTCTGCTCGGCAGAACGTCAACGCTCTTCTCCATCCCAACAGACCAAATCTGGAATTGCTTTGCTCTACAACCAGGAGAGCAACAACACCTACGACGTCTGCCTGAAACTCACCAAAGACACGTTAACCATTCAGAAGCTGGATGTGGTCTGCACAAACGGAAGCCAATCCCAAGTAAACGTAAGTGCAGCCGAGCGCTCCGGAGCCGCATTAACACTCATACTGCATGGCCCTACAATCTGTTTACTAAAATCCATTTTGCCAATAAAAAACTCCCCCTTTCTAAAGCACAGAACTGTTGTACTGCGAAGACAGGCGACCGGCGGCCTGGGCTTAAGCATCAAAGTAAGCAGATAAGATTTCCTCATGTGTTGAAAAGGAGAAGGCTTTGGTGGAACTTTTTTCAGCAAAACACAACAAAAAAAAAAATGATCCTCTTCCTTCTTGCTTTGCATTTGCAGGGCGGTGCAGAGCACAACGTGCCGGTGGTTATTTCAAAGATTTTCAAAGATCAAGTTGGTAAGAAAAGTGCTTTTTTCTTCTTTTTCTTTTAAGAGTCCTGTAGTGACATAACTACCCCGTGCCTGCAAAACTGATCTAAAATCCATCCATCCATCCATCCATCCATCCATCCATCCATCCATCCATCCATCCATCCATCCATCCATCCATCCATCCATCCATCCATCC